AGTATAATAATAAACCCCAAACCCTACTGAAATTATTAGGGCCTCTATCTGTTTGTAACCCTTCAGGGTTTAGGTTTAGGGTTTAGGGTTTAGGGTTCAGGGTTCAGGGTTTACGGTTTAGGGTTTAGGTTTGGGGTTTAGGGGTTTTTGGGTGTTAGGGTTTAGGGTTTAGGTTTGGGGTTTGGTAGGCGTTTAGAATGTGTCATTTGTTTAGAGTTGAGGGCTTACGGTGACGGTTAAGGTTCCGGAAAGGCCTATCTTAAAGCATGCTGTAGAAGGGTACCTTATTCCGTGTCCTCTTGTTACATACGTCAGCGAGCGAATTTCTGTGACACGCACACTTATATGCAAGACCAGCCACGGCCGCACGCTCAAGTAAAATAAATATTCAATTTCTCTGCTTGATTTCCGCACTCTCGGACACAAATTGTTTCTTCCTCTTAGTCTGAGTCTTGATCTTGCTACACCCTCATCACACGTAGAATGGGTAACCGAATAGAATTTGTCTGTATCTGCTGCTCTTTTTGCAGGTGTGCAGTGTCTGTATCAGTACGACGTGGGTAGTTTTTTACTTCAGCATCCCCTTCATTGACGGTCCTTATCACAAGACTGACGTGTCCTGCTTCTTGAGACCCGCCCAACATACGATAGATGCCTTAATAATTACTTATTTTTGCGGTTCCTTACTATGACCACAGCACAACATACCCCAAAACCCTATTCTAATTACTAAGGCCCCTACATTACCATGTCTTTGCTCAAGCAGCATGTCCATTTCTTGAAACTCACATCCGAAAGACCTTCCGAGGTACCACCCGGACAAGGTCCCCGACGAGCAGAAGGCCATCAAAGGGCTCTACGGCAATAGATACCTATACTGTTCCTTAGTGTTCCTGATTTTTCTGCCTATGGTATACAGCATAATATACCGCCTCCCTCCCCCTCCCACTGCCAGAAAACACACACAACACAACAAACACGAACGCCTGCTCTATTATTAAGGCCCCCATCTTGAACTCGACAGGCTATAGCAACCCTAAACCCTAAACCCTAAACTATCGAAACTATATTTTCCCAGGTCCCAGAGGTCAAATCTCAAAGCGTTAGGATCTCCATGACGTCAAACGCCCCAAGGACGGAAGATCCTCGATGTTAGTTCTCGAAATTGTTGGTGCTGTTTGGGGTCCCCAATAGTACGGCACCCTTATAAAAAGGACCCTAAAAGGGACCTTAATTTAAATTAAAGAACTACCCATATCGAACCTCTTAGGGTTAAGGGCCATGCACATTCGTGCTATTACAGCTACGCGAATGCTATCACACCGGGTATCTACCTACCTACTTACTGCTTGTTTATTTACTTGCCTTCTTCCATACCCACCTACCTACCTGCCTACCTACCTACCTACCTACCTACCTACCTACCTACCTGCTACCTACCTTCCTACCTACCTACC